TAGTTAATATTTCAACATGTTTGACTTTAAAATGAAGCAGTTTCTGCAAGGATGTTCTGTTCCAATTTCTAGTCTTGATAATATTTCATTTATTTTCATATAAATAGCACCAATGTTATTAAAAGAAGACTGAACGGAGGTGTGCTCAATAAAGCACTTTTTGGGAAAAAATATTCGACGCTTGATCTAACCACAGCCAACAATATATTTAGCTCCACCTAAAAGAAGCAAACAGTCATCCATTAAAATCTTCTGTATCTGTGCTTCTGCCTCCATGATTTCAAAGAACACAAACTGAATGCTCTCTAGTGCATCAATGTTGTTGTAGGTCTCAATGCACCATGCCTCAAATCGCCTTGCCTGCTTTATTCTCTGTAATGGAGGTCGCAGAGGAAGAAAGAATAAGAACCACAATGACAGATTATGATATTTTACACCTCACCAGTCGATTCCACAAAGACTAAATACTCTATGTTTGCAAAAGGTACAGTGAGGATTGTTTTCATGTGTGTAAAATGATTCCTCTTTAAATTTCGGGTCTAGGAATGAGCTTCAAACAAAAGCTCAATCCTGCATCAATCTCAAAACCGCACTGATTCAGAATCAATGTGGCGAGCAAAATGATTTTTCAATTCGCCTTTGCACAAAGTGTTTTGGAGACTTCCTCCTGATGTAAAATTCAGTGCAAACTGTTTTCTTGCGGTTGAAAAGATTATTTGGCTTCTACTATGTTGCTTATGACTTCTTCTGAGGCAGGAAAGGTCATCTTGCTAAACCACCAAGGATATAGGGCATGATTGACTGATAGTAGAACTCTGCCTAACCGTGGGTGAGAAGGGATGCAGAGACCAGAGCAGTAGGGCTTGCAGATCACACATTACACATCTGGATCACTTGGAATTACACTTCCAAACTGCACAACCATGGAGATCAGATGCACATTTCAAACTAAACCATAACAATGACAAGAGGTGTACCTCCTATCAGCCCATCAAGGTATCTTACCAAGTCACAGATCAAAATATGATAATAAATCAAAATCAGCGTAGTTCAAACTGATTTTGGACCTCAGTTCATTTATAGGTGTATTCTATTGTGTGGCGAGTATCAGTAGCTCTTGCATTTACCCCTCCCGCTCAAAAAACATAGTCATATAATCAAACATCAATCAAGATTCTGGCCTCTATCAGACAGCAAACATAAAAATGATACGTGATACTATACCTCAGTTTAATGCGTGCTTGGTGTTGGCCCAGTGTAATGTTGTACATTACACAAACATCAATTGCAGTACAAAGCTCCTGATGTCTCAGAAATTGGCAGTTTTCATCAGTACTGTACAAGGCATTGTCAGTATATAGTCACTACACTTTATAGTTGAGGTATACCTGGGGTTTCCAGCGAGGCGCTGGCATTTTAAAGATAAATAGGTGATTTACCTATTACACCCTGGCCTGTTACACCCACCACTGAATTTCTCATGTTAGAAAAGAGCTGCCTGAGTCCCTTTAAAATATACAACTGAGGTTTGGATGAAATATTTACAGACGTTTAACCACACACGATTTAAAAGGCCAGGACTGCATATAAGTGCAAGGTCAATACGTGATGATTCTCTTATTTCAGTGAATTCTCGTGACACAAAGCAACCACAGATACTTTTGATTTAGAATCTTCCGTGAGAAGCCATTCATTTAACAAACCAGTGGCAAATCTGAAACCAGGTTTAAACCTGTGTAATGGTGTGCTGTGTTAGATTGGATTGGCTTGGAATCATTGTTTTTGCACAGTGTCAAATAGAAGAGCCACCTATTAGCCAATAATTGTATCATATAATAATAATAGTAATAATCTTTGCCTTTGATATAGTGCCTTTCATGTCGGAAGCACTTCCACAAAGAATTTCACTGGATTTTACTATAAAGTGTAGTGACTATGTGCTTTGTATGCAAACAGAGAAGAAATACTGTCCCACTGTCTCCAGCAGCTCATGCAACACATTTTATTGCAATGCCATCTCTCAGCAATATTGGGCTTGAAAAATCGAGACCGAAAATGAATAGTTGTCTCTCCAAGGTCATTGCATGTTCTCAATGATGTCACTGTGAAAAATAACCCTCTACACAGATATATGGAGACTTCTTTAAAAAAAATTTAAGCTATTGAAAACAAGAGGATAAGATATAATTTTTCATCTTTAGGATGCAGCAAACCACAGTTAAGATCTAAATTGGCCCATGTCACAACCATTGGATAGAGAAATAACCTTGAAGAAACCAACTGATCACAAATCTTGCCCCATAAAATCAGCAGATACAGTATACAGCAAGCTTCAGACCTCGTCACTTCCTTGGATTCTTCACACACACACACGCACCAGAGTCCTGGTTGTGTTCAAGTATTCTCTACCTACACAGAATGACAATTGCATGTTTACACACCTACGCCTGCACTCAGCCTCCGCCATCTCTACACAGTGATTCAATGACTGGATTTTCTCCCTGTGATAATCAAGAGTGATTATCTTACACTAAAAAAAATCTGCCAGACTGACATTGCTCGATTTAAATATTTCAGTGGGAGTGAAATAAAGAAATTAGACATTGATGTAATGGTTTTGCCAGTGGTACTGTTTCCAGTGAAGGCCCACTTGAACCCAACTCACTGGACTTGTCAACTGTGAAGAATGCAGCAACCCCTCCCCCCCTCCCCATCTGGTATATTAATTAAGCTGATTTCAGCTATAACTTATTATATGAATGCACGTGATGTCCATACTGGTAAAATCTCCAGTTACTGAATCTGCCCTGCAGATATCAATGCGCTCATATACAAACAGAGTCCTTGCTGTGTTTAAACAGCAATGACTCTACAGTTTAGCTTTTTTCTGAAATCAGTTGCATGCCCACAATAAAGAAATAAATAAGTGTTTGCAGTTTTAAATCCACTTTTGATTTTGCATGTGAAAAAACATGGAAAACTCATTCATAACTGCGGAGCTTATGAGCTGATGAAACTTAGCAGAATTCTGTTCACTGTATCACCTGAGGCTCCAGCCAACCGACTCAAATGACACATTTATTATGAAGCAAATTACATCTGGATTCAAAGCGATAGACCTTAAGGATTTCCTGAAGCTAACAGCTCAAAAGAAGATTAAGAGCAATACAAAAGTTATTGCGAATTATATTCTCTATGAATACAGAATAGAGCATGTAATCGGATGCTAATTGTTAATGCCCCCCCATCATCCCCCCCCCCCCCCCCACCCTTTTCCCCACCTCCACTTATCTAATCGTATTCCAAGCACAGCAACAGCTCTTTGGGGATATGAACTTCACAGCAAGTTGGAATTGCAGCGTCGAATACGTGGAAATTATTTAAATGCCACAAAAAAGGCACAGAATGTATCTGCACCACTGAAGCAAGTGATCAAGTTGTGGAAATATCACCAGAGTACTTTGCAGAGATCCCCAGCTTTAAGAGCTCCGAGACACTGCCCTGCGTGAAGGTGCTATAGAAATGCAAGTTGTTGTTGTTGATTGTTCCTTCACCATTCCAGCCTCAGCATTGATAGATTATCCAACTGTTGAACAAGCTTCAATTGTTTAAGACATTGTTTATATGGAGGAAAATTTATAGCCTCAGGGAAGATGTAAACATATCATATTAAGCAAATAAAAACTTGACAGAGTTTGTTAGGGAAAAAATCTAACTTCAGGAACAAAACCGATCACACTGGCCTCCTTCTGTGCTATAAGATTCCATGATTCTACGATATTCAGCAGTGCAGGTTGTTATTTCAAATCTAAAAAAGATGTTGCCACTGTGTCCCAATGCAACACAATATACTGTACCAAGTGTGGGTGTTCATGTGATTTCTGGCATTAATCCCACAACACTGAAGGAACAATAACTGAACGGAAGGATACGTGACTTCTCACATCACAGTGAAATTTCAGTGTGAATGAATCCTCACAGCCAATGCATCCACCTAATTGACGCTTTTTAATTTTTATTACCTTTAGAGACAGAAATCTTTTCAAACACGAAGCACAAAAGCATTGTTTGCTTCTCTGACTGTGCAATTCCGGAGTGTGCAAGGATCTGCTTCTCAGACAGATTACTCCATTCCCTGATTCCACAAGTTGCTCTTAACATTACAGCAGGTACAATTTCACAGTGATAAGGCAGTTCTTAAAAAACAAGGTAATTGTCTTGGGAATACTTTCACTATGAAATGCCTCTTATATCGTTCTTACAGCCTTACTTTAAAAAGTGTTTTACCACATTTAGACCAGAAGCACCTTTGTCTGTGAACACATAAAATCTGACAAGGTTTTATTTACTCTGCTCCCAGGTACCACTAACAACCACAGTTAGTCTGTGTCAACCCTGATAAGAAGCCATTGTTTTCTTTTCAACCAATGCTTTTCGCTAACCAACTGTAAATATGCAAAAATGTAAGAATTATTTTAGAAAGAGGAGGCTGCCTTTCCTCAATGATTTGGTGGTTAAGGGCACTGGCCAGTGTAACAATAATCCTTGCAATTGATATAGGGCTTTACGTCACTGAGAAGTCTCAAAGCTCTTCACAGAATACACTGTAAAGTGAATTGAATGTATAATTTGTGGGCGAAACACTAAAATTGTGCAGGTTAGAAGGTTGCTGGTTCATTAGACAATCTGTGTCTGTTAGCTGGCCCCAGCCAAGGCAGTAATTCAGTAGCTATGAAAGACCTGGATTACAATAAACAACCACCATTTTAGTAAGGAATGCTACACCAGAACTCTGCTCATATGTATCTTTACAAAAAGTTATCCAGCAGTTTGTAAGGTGGTAGACCTCATAACATCCACTTTGCTTGAATCAGACTGACTCACTGTTCACACACAAACTCACACAGGACCTCAAACTCAATTGCATTCTCCCCAAAGTCCTAGATGAAACATACTGGCTTTTGGATCGGGTAAGAAAGATCTATTGTCTGGTTACCTACCTCCATCCAATGTCCTTGAGACTGCATCAGAAGTAACACAGATGGGTCAGATTTGTTGAGTGTGTCTCTGTCAAGCAAATTCCTGCAGGAAACGCGTAGCTCCACTTTGGAGACACAAGTGGCTGTCACAACTCCCATTGAATTTGGGGACACCCTACCTGTGAGCTCAGTCATCCCTGAGCCCAAACCTTCTTGACAGACAAATACTAGAAGATCTTCAGGAGTGAAAGCTTTGCAGGGAGACAGATGAGATCTTCCTCACAGGAACCAACTCCACAATTCCAACACTGTGGGTTGATTTCAGATGCACCAAAAGTAATAGTGTTGTGATAGGATTGGTTTCTGTCCTTTCTGGGATTCTCCAGTCTAGACTTTGCTAATGATTTGATTCTTCCATCTTCAAATTCCAAGAGCAAAGCAAAGTTATTTGAGAGTAATATCAATCTCTCCACACAACAATGTTATACTGGCTGATTTCAGAAGCCCCTGCAAATAAATTAAGAAAAAATTAGTTGCAATAAAGCCATAAGGCAAAAAGCTTTGAAGTATTGTGTAATTGAGATGAGAATGTCAAGGAATTCAAGAATTGTTCATTTGATCAGTGATTTTTTGGCATAATCTACGATATTTATTCGTATTGCTGATTTTCATTGAATTGAACCATCAGTTTAGTATCAAACTGATTGTAGTAAGTCTGAAATGAGAAAAAGAAAAAAGAAAAGAAAAAATGAGAGAAAAATGAAAGCTAAGATTAAACAAGCACTAGACAGTAAGCAAATGATTCATTCTGAGCCAATGTGATCACTGAATAGCATTTGAAAATAATAATAGGGATTCTTCTAAGGAGTGTTATGCTATGTGATTAGGAGCTAGTTTGTATGCAATATACAATATACCCTTTCATTATAATACCTCAAGGACTCACTCCCATTTACATAGAATTCCAATGCACCAAATCACCTTCCATCCACTCCTGTTCAATAGAACTATAACGTGGCAAACCACTCGTATTATAAGATAACGTAGAATGAAAAGACTATCCAGGCTGTCAAATCATTCCATCCACAGAGATAGGCATTGCTGTATTTATTTAATTTGCTGAGGGTGGTGTGTAACCACAAGCAAAGCCTCCAAGATAAATCTCTGAACGACTCCCTGATCAGTAAATGCTAATCACAACAACTTCAAGATATCCATCTATACACAATCTATATTGTTCAGCCCTATCCACTTGCATTCTTTCTACTATATTTCCATAGCCTGACTATACTGAACTAAATATTGATCTGATATGTTTATGCAGTTCTTTGTTGGAGTAACTAAGCAAAATAGCATGAACTACTTTCCTGTTCTTACATATCCACCAGCTAATGATGAACACAATTGTCTAACTCAAGTCTTGCTGAAGCTCATTAACTCACAATTTTTCCTGTTCCAATTATATTGGAATTACCTGCTTAGATTATTGTTGCTTCATAGTATTTTAAAGACATAGATCATTGTCCCCTCATAATCCTCTTTTCCACAATTAAAATAAATGATGTACTTTGAGCCTCTCTAAGTAGCTTTGAATTTCAGTATCAGCCCTTTGATGAGCAGAAGGGATACAGCATTTCACTGGAAGCACTTCCAGCGCTGTTAAGGGTGCTTTGATTTTTTTTATATTTGGTTAGTTGACTAAAACCAACTCTGACCCAGCAATTATAATTGTTTTTTAATGTGCTTTCTTAGCAACACAATGCTGCAAGAGTTTCTCTTTACTGGCCTATAACAAGGTTTGAACAAGCCTAATTGGCCTTTTGTTCTGTTTTTAATAATATTTTTACACCAGTTTTTCATTGGTAGTAGTGATGCCAAAAGAAGCACTAACCACAGACAAATCATCCATCAGTACAATCTCTCAACATTCCTTCCTTATTGACATATGTCTGCATTGCCACAAAGATTGTCAATCATGGTTCCCATGATGTAGAATTGCTTCTCCAGATATATCTCTTCAAGTATATTCCTAATCAAAAATGTTCCCGAATTATTCAGACCATTTCTCAGTACACTCCATATTGTAGTGCATGACACACATGTGATTTTTTGTGCTCTAATGGTTTCTTGTAGAATAAAGTATTTTGTGTAAGTATTTACTGTATAACTGTAATGAATTGGTCAACAATATCTATACAGGAATGATGGTAGAGATAATAATAATAATCCTTGCATTTGATATAGCGTCTTATCACATCTTCTAGATGTCTCAAAGCACTTCACAGAATATACTGTAACGTGCGTTGACTGTATATGCGTGGGCAAAACGCCGCAGCCAACTGCACACAGCAGTGTCCCGCAAACAGTTGTGGATTGAGTGACCAAATTATTATTATTATTGTTTCTTTAAGGTATTACTAATTCCGGAAAGCGATCTGCCAATCGACTCACAACCGGGATCCCTACTTACTGCTAGGTAAACAGTGGTGTGTGGAGTAAGGAAACTTGTCCAATATTTCATCTTGTCGAGATCAAATAAAAGAGTTAGGGATAAAATAATCCCTAATTATTTGAGATTTTCTAATCCAGTGGAGAACTTGGAGGATTCCTCAGCAGGGACACTATGCGATACAAACTGAGCAGTACGTTTTCATTATTTAAAGTGCATCTTAAGAACGCAGGATGTGAAAAAAAAATCAACGCCCACTCACTTTGTCAATCGGATCATGTCTGAAGCAAACGATTTTTGAGTTTGTTTCTTTAGTTAAAGGGGAAATGCAATTTCTTTCCTTGTTTCTGTCTCTCGTCCTTGGCACTAACTGGAGCATGGCTGTGTGGTACCCTATGCAAGTGATCATTCTACATGTGTGAGCCAAGACAGCTGTAAGGCTATGTGCTTGTGCATATCACAGCTGAGCCTCTTCCTGTCTTTACCCAACATCCACAGATGTGCATTTTCCAACTGGGGCCATTGTTAACAAACACAAAGCAGAATCTGAACAGTTTCTCCTCTCCATTATCCAGGGGCACTGAAATGCCAATTTTAGCATCACCACTTCTGCTCCAGCTGAGATCATCAAACACAGCTCAGACCAGGTTTTGAACCTAGGTCTTCCTGCTTTTTCAGGCCAACAGTTGGTGCATTTACCCACTGAAGCACCAAGAAGCATGTACGTTAGTTTTCTCAGTGTAAACAGCTACCGTCTAAACATCCCGTAATGAAAGAACTAAATACCACAGAACATCAACATCATAGGGTTAAAGGGAAGAATCTATTTGTATAATAACCTGAAATCCATTCGTAGATTGCACGCTTCCGTTTAGAACGTGCCATGCAAAAAATGCTGTAACATTTTCACAAAACCCATTCATGTACACAATGTAAGTTAATTAGCAAATAGATTTTTTTTCACCATACCCCAAAAGTTATATTTATGAAGCTCAAAATGCATAATTGTTATCATATTATGAACCACATTAATGAGTATTCTAGTTTAATTCTATTTGCATATGTAATAGATTCATTGAGAAAGAGGCTTTTTTATTTCTTTTTGTGATGTTGTGATACTTCAGTATTCAGGCTGTTGCTTTGTGAAGGTTGGAGAATAATAGTCACACAGTTGAAGTTATAGTTCAGAAACCTTAGGTAAATAAATAAAATGTAACCAGATTAGATTAGTTAGACAGTTAGACAATAGACATTCATTACAAAGCAAAACATTGTCATTTTTCTCTCCCCAAAATTTGGAGAATATTTTCTTTACATCATAAACGCTCTAGGATCCTACCCTGCATGAGGGGCACTATATAAATGCGTTGTTGTCGCATTTGTTGTTGCGATAACAAATTGTTGTCGTCTCCTGGTTTATGTTAATTTGATAATTTGACCCATTACATATGTACAGATTAAGTTGTTTAGGTTACATGCTGTATTTTGCCCTATTACTTGGATATCAAGTACTGGGTAGCGCAGATAAAATTCCAGTTATTACGATGGAGACCAACACTAGAAGGAAAGGAAGGGTAAATTTCATAGCCATCTTAGCTTCAATGGAAATTACTATTGGATGTGACAGATGGTTTGTTACTGTTTCTGCCTTTTGCACTGCCTGAAGTTAACAGGAGTAATGTGAGTACATTTTAGATAGCAGCAGTGAGAATAGGGAGGGAGATCGACAAAGACTTTGTTCAGTTTTAGCAAGACTTTGTCCAGTGTTAACAATGAAATTACACTGCGGTGGGCGAATAAAAAGCAGTGTGAGGGACAATGATTGTTAATTGCTGCATTGGTAAACGTTCCACCGGTTACAGTGTGAAAAAACCACAGCAAAATAACTGAACCTGGCACAGGATCGAGGTTGAGCAGTCAGCACAAGATATATGTGACTAAGCTCAGCCTGTTCAAAAAACATTCATGCTAAGAACTTCAAACATGTTCCTTTTTTTTAGAAAAATAAGGTTTGATTCGAACCTTAATTTGATGGATTTTGACTCATTCACTTAAACCAGAGCATCATCTCTGAACTTAATTTATTTCACTCCTTCCTTATTCTAAAAGACTTTACCTTCTTGCCCTCAGACCTCCAAAGTTAAAGGAAACGTCAAACATTTCCCACACTAGCAGCTGTTTCTTCCGGGATCTTATAGTCAGAAAAAATCTCATAAACAAACCTAATTTATTTTGTCTTTGTTTAAAAGATTGTCTTCTGAAAACTGTTGGAATGTCTCTTTTTTTAATTTTATGGTCTTCACGTACTGCTGATTTCTAACAGAAACATATGCAATCATTACTGGTAATAATAATAATAATAATAATCCTTGCATTTGATATAGCGCCTTATCAGCAATCGATTTCAAAGAATCTGATTTGAATTCATCTACTGGAATTTAAATAGCTACTATTTTGTATTCTCCTTATAAAAGAAATCAGTGATTGACTGCAACTTTTAATGTATATGTACTTTGCAGTATGAGTGAGGTGCTAACTCAACAGTCATCTGCCAACAATACAAAGAGTTATAAAATAACAGAAAGCTAACATTGTACTCAGTATTACACTGAGAAGATATGCATGTACGATTTGTAGTACACAACAGAATGCAACCAGCAGATGGTTCTAAATGTTATGCTAGGGCTTGAAAAAAGATGGGCACATCTAAGTGCTGAAATCTATATCAGGCTCCACAGTCCCTTGA